TCTATGGTAGCATTATATTTAATGATGATTCACTCTTTCAACTGCCTTTTTGCTTTACTGAGTCACTGATGAGTCTCTAAGCTATCCCGGTACCTAGGACCCCACACTGTGTAATCAGCTCTATTTGCAACTGAACAGGCCTTATTTATTCCTACTTTGTCTAGAAAGTCTGATTAGAAGTGCCAGTTGATGCATCTTCATTTATGTTTTATATCACAAAGTACAGAAGTACAGGGGGCTGGAGACTTATTTTACATTGCAGAGAATTAAGGACAATTTTCACAAAGTTAATTAAAAATCCAGTTTTTCCCAGACATAACTTGTTGCTGAAATTGCCAGGTCAGTCTTCCTATAGACAAATTCTTCCCAGCAACTCTTAGACTACACATTTACCAGCCAGTATTTATAACCTTGGGAATGACCAATCACTGTCATTTACTGTTTTCTTTACCCATGTATGCACTGACTTCTGAAGCAAGGTTGAAGATTGCTAAGACTCTACTCTCCTAGATGTTTTCTGCTAAAGATTTAAAAAAGGTAGAATGAACTCTTTATCTGTTTAAAAATGTCAACTTGAGGGGCCTCCCTGGTGGTGCAAGGGGTTAGGATGAAGCATTATGAAGCTGTCCGTAGCCACTGCAGCACAAGTTTGATCCCCGGCCAGGGAGGTGACCCACATAGTGCAGCAGACCTCTCCTGTGGTGCAGCAGCCCACTGCTCCCCTCAGCAGTGTATTTCAGTCAGTCTGCCTGTTCTTCTCCCCACTCTGTCTCTGGTGACTCCTCTCACCCCCCACACCTCTGGCCTGTACCCCAGTTCTTGCATGCATAAATAAACAAATCTTTAAAAAAATGTCTGCTTGAATAAGAACTCAACAGCAAATCACTTTTTGTGGCCACATAGCCTCTGTGTACATGAAGTTCCTTCACATAAAAAGCAGTGTCTAAGAACACTCAGAACTCTCCTTGAGTTCATTTCTAATATCTTCCCTATGCAGTTCAGGAAGTAGAAACATTATCATGTTTCCAAATGCCTTTTGCAATGCCAGGCTCAGCTGGGATAAAGCCTTCCTTGTTTGGGAAGGCAACATGTCTTTTGCAGTCTTAGCAATAGTGTCATCCTTGAGGTGTGAAATACTCAGTATTTCCTTCCTGCATTCATCACAGATACATGGAGAACACAGGAGGGCTTGAGAGCTTTGACCTTTGCCCATATGCCCTGTATCAGAAGCCTTCAGGGGAGCCGTACTGCAGAATGCTCGACTTCTCTCAGGAAAGTTGAAAAGGCAGATTGTATCAGATCAGCAGAGACCTGTGGGTGTGTGCACTCGTGCTTGTGTGCACAAAAAGAGTAAGGCAGAGGGAGAATTCATGCTAGTTTAATTTATAAAAGAATTATTCTTTTGTTAAATATCCATTCTGCAGGCCCTTATCCTCTTATCTGTTGAGAAATTTTCTTTACCTATATCTTTTCTCCTTTCTAATTTAACCTTATTTCTCCTTCCTTTCAACTATATTTTCTGAGTTTCCTCAGCTGTGTAAGTTAAATCTAAATCTGTATGTCTCCTTTTTTTTCTCAGATAGCCGCGGGAGTTTATGCAAGTTTCATTCTGTTCCCCACTTCTGTAAGAAACCTACTACTCCTTTCTAGGTCTTTCTTCGACCTCTCTCAAGTGATAAGGGTTCTTTTTTCCCTTCAGACTTTGTTTTTTTCCTGGAGATAGAACTGCCAAAATCTCTCTTTAAGAGTTGAAAGACTTTCAACTTTTCATTACCTATTAAATAAAAATTAGGACTGAGCATTAATAGGCTGAAATGGAGTCACTAAGCAAGCGTGGCAAGACTTCAACATCAGGAACCTTATAAAAGCCACATTGCACAAAAACATACACTATAAAAGGCCTCTTTTAACGTACTCTCTAGGAAAGAAGGAAAAACCAGATCTGCCACATCGAAGTGGTCAGGCCATCATTCAGGAAAAGTAGAACCTTAACCACAAGTCACTAAATCTTCCACCTTACTTTATACCTTTCTGAGATGCCCTGTGTTCTCTGTCCATCCCTGCCATCATTTTAGTAAGCTAGAAAATTGCCTTTGAAAAGTGTCCTCTTCCTCACCTATTCTAGTTGGTATATTTATAAATGTACTTTGAAATGGCTTTCGAACCATGTGATGCTCTACTTGTATAGGCTCAGACCCATTAAAGTCATTAGTTTATTAAAACTTAACTTCAGTGTTTAATACCACAGCTAAAATGAAAATTTGGTGTGTCCTTAACTGATGCACTGAATGTCCTGGTAGCAAAATAGTAATCATGCCCAGATGCCAGCTGGCTAAGAGCTGCATTTAATCCTTAGCCAGAGGTTAAAGAACTTTGTATAGCCCATCAGTTAACCAAGACGTCCCCTCTGGACAGTGGCTACTGCTCTAAGCACTCAGGCATTCTCATTATGTACCGCGAGTACTTCTGATCCTGTGAACAAAGAGACCCATCAAGATGGAAAAGGTTGCAGCAAAGTACACAGTATGAGCAGTGTGGGGGTGCTAACACAGGGTGCACACTTTTGCGGCTTCTCAAAGCTGTAGATTAGCTAAAGATGGAGGATAGTATGTCTGCACAGAACCGCAGCATCTTCTAATGGGCAACAGTTGACTGGGGTTGGGGGCACAGAGTATACCTCACACAGCAGTTCATGGTACCTCCACTTTTAAGCTATCTGCTTCCATCTGCTTCTATCTGCTTCCATCTATGAATTTCTTTACTTGAAACTGGAGACTTCCAGAATAGAGTTTTGAAAATAAAGGCCATTTAAACATTTTTAAAATGAAGGTAATGATAGCAACAGCCCATTTCACTTGCCACATTTCAGGTAAAGGTTGAAGCTTCTGAATGTAAAATTTCAGGAAGCAAGTTTGGGGATAGATAGGTTATCTGGGATCATATATACAACAATACTGAGTTAGTGACCTTTTTACCATTTTATTTTACAAAGAAATTCATACATCAGAGAATAAAGCACATTTACATTTATTGGAAAAAAGCAATTAATTGTATCCAGGTACATAATGTTGTCACAAGCTGCGCCTAGTATATAAATCTGCTGGAGGAAGTGTTATTATATGGTTTGAATGTAAAAAATACAGGAATTGAAAGGTGAGGAGTACCTTTTGGTTCTTATGTACCTTGCTGCCACTGAGATGAAATAAAGAGGAAGAAAGAAAGGAAGGAAAAGAAAGGAGAAGGGAAGAAGGTAGGAAGGTAGGAGGGAGGGAGGGACGGAGGGAAAAGCACCATCACCATAACAGGGACTTCCCCATAAAGTATCTTCTCTATGTGCCATTATTTTTGATTTATTTATTTGCACACAAGAACTGGGGTACAGGCCAGAGGTGCAGGGGATGAGAGGATTCACCAGAGACACAGTGAGCAGCAGAACAGGCAGACTGACTGAAATACAGTGCTGAGGGAAGTAGCGGGGGAGACAGGAGAGGTCTGCCACGTGGGTAGCTCCCTGGCCAGGGATCGAACTCGTGCTGCAGTGGCTGTGGATAACTTTATCAGTTGCGTCTTCACCTCTTGCACTACCAGGGAGGCCCAACGATGTGCCATTTTCAAGACTACTTTTCATATTTTTTTAAGTTGATGTATAATTTTGATACATTTAGTTTCAGGTATATAACATAATAATTTGGTATTTGTATATATTGCAAAATGGTCACCACAATAAGTCTAGTTAACATCTGTTACTCAAGAAGGTCCAGAAGTTGCAGTGTTTTCAAAAACATATGCAAAATCCTTGGTCACATATAATCCAATACAGCTGACCCCTGGTTGAGATTTGACCCAAGTGTAAATTTTGCAGGCCTACTTATATGCAGACTTTCTTATAGATGGATGATGTAAATTCATGCTATCAATAAATACAGTAGAGGGTCACCCCAGTGGTGCACGAGGTTGAGTGCTACACTGTGAAGGTGTTTGCAGCCTCTGCAGTGCAGGTTCAATCCCAGAGGGCCAGCAAGGGGGGGGAGGGGGCGGGGTGTTGTTGGCCTGCAGGCCTTCAAGCCCCACCCCCCAAGTCTTCACTCTGGGCTTCTCTGGCTTTTTCTCCCCTTCTTTCTCCTGCTTCTGCTTCTCTTGATGACTATCTCAATACTCCTCCTATGGCCCACAGAAGTAAATAAGACAACTTATAACAATGTAACAACTGCAGGCCCCCATCAGGCAGGGCAATCCTAATGGTGGGAGGGCAAAAAAACCTGAAAACCATTTACCCTACCGTGCCCCCAACCCCTGAGTTTTACGAAACTGTGTTTTCTTTTTCTCTCACAAAACCCTGTGAATTTTCAACCAAGTAGTTTAGAAGGCAGAGTGCTATATATATAACACTGTTTGATTTTTGTCTTTAGATTAGTGGAGCAAAAATAAAACGTTATACTATTGCTTTCCACCCAATATAATCTAATCTGGCAAAGATAGTTACCAAAGCCAATAGCAGTTCCTACTGGGAAGACAAATAGTGTCTGAATTGGATTCAGGTGACAGGAGAGTGTCCTATATAGATAGCTGTGGCAAGGAGCAGTTCTGAGTTTATGGCTCAATTACAATCATAAATGATATCTATAGTTCTCCTGGGTTTAATGACGTCACAACCAACCAAGTCTTTGTTGAATCATAGTGGAGATTTTTTTTTCTTTTAACTCGATGTATTTTAATTTGTGCTTAACTAGCTGTCCCACAAGAAGCACTCAGGCTGGCATTTTGGGTGCAATTAGCTAAATACTCCTCTGCGTAGCCTCAGCATCAAGGGGGAACAAAGTAAGGAGAATCAGTAACACCCAGCCAGTTTAGGAAGAGGACATTCACTTCCCATCACGAGCCTTGACTGGCGCATCCAGAGGCTTGCTCGCAGGGGAAACAGCTCGCTCTGGTCTTCTTGTGCTTTTAATGCATAAGTGGTTCTGTTGTGGCTGCTAAATGACTTTGCTGCTGTGTTTTAGTTTTCAGGACTTTATCTCCTGTCGTTCTTCACCATCCTCATTGGGCTGGTGCTCTACTCCTCCACCTCCACTTACATAGCCCAGGACCCCCGAGTCTACAAGCAGTTCCGCAACCCTTCGGGTCCCGTTGTGGACTTACCAGCCACAGCTCAGGTGGAGCCTTCAGTCACCTACACCAGCCTGGGTCAGGAGACCGAAGAGGAGCCCCACGTGCGAGTGGCCTAGAATGAGGCCCTCCCTGCCCACTGAAGACAACTCAGTGCCCATGTGTTCACCCATCGTCTTTGTATTGTACATAGAGAAAGGTATTTATTAGGTGCAGTTTACACAGGTGGACTGCAAGGTAGCAAATCTGAAGGCCTGTCAAAGGCACAAGCTAAACATCACTGGAGACGCAGGCTCCAATTCACCTGACTTGGAGAGAGGCCTAGCTAGAGTGTATCCTAATCACAACCCCCTATGTTAATTACTGTGAAATTTTTTTAATCAAAAACAAGTATTATTGTTATTATTTGTATTATTGTTACTGTTCTTACACCGACTTTCAGGAGGCAATTTTTTACTCCTGATGGGAATTAGTACCAGATCCACATGTAGTTAACATAAATCCTACTTTTCTACGGCAAGTCACTTTTTAAAAATCATACTTTTTTTTTTTTTGCACAGTCTATGAGTGCTGCATGCCACAGGAGCTCCACCCCTGAGAAGCCTCCTTATCCTAGGGACCTGGTGGCTGATGGTTTCCTCTGTAACCTGTTGGATTGCCTGCTCAAAAAGTTTTTTGTGCTGTGACCCTTGTGGGGAGGGGCAACTGACCATATAATTTTCTATTCTGGGAATAGATATAAAACAAGCATTTTTGCCTTTTTATATTCCAATCTGATGACTCCAGGCCATCACCTTTCTGTTGTGCCACACGATTCCACTAATCAAGCCCCTGTAATAACAGGATAAAGAATAGGTTTCTCATAAACCCCAGAAATAATATCATTTGTGTTGGGGTATAGAGACTTCCATAAAATCTTTCTGCTGTCTTTATCTTCCCTGTTCCAAAAATTGGATATTCCTTTTTCCTCTCAGATTTCTTTAACAATAATAGGAGACTAATCAAGGCATTGGAAAAAGCCATAGTCTTCTGCCCTCTTAATTGTGTGACACTCTTTTGAAATACACCAGCTTGGCAATTACCTTTATTGTGGTGTGTTATTGATTGTGTGACCTTCCAACAAAGTCACGGTGCTGACTCAGAGCAGTCTTTGACAATAATAGCGCAATAGATCTGGCTACTTTGTAATGGTTAAAACGTCACCAATGAAGAAGACTGGCATTTCGTTCATACTTGGCATCTATTCAATAGTAGAATGTATCAACACAACATCCTGATGGCTGTAGCAGGTATCACAGCATCCTAATAATGCTTTGAGTGACTTGTCACTAGGCTAATTTTGTTGCCCTTAAAATCACCCTTTCTTCAAATACAGGAAATCAAGTAACACCGCCAACCTCTGATTTAGAATAGATTCTTCATACCACTATGTGAAATCATCATTAAATCTGACTGGTTTCATAACATTCAAAAAAATTTCATGAAATTATAGTTTGTAAAGGAAAAATAAGTATTTTTGAAATGCTTGACAAATCAAACCAGTACATCTTAAGCAAGACAAAACATTAGTAGGGTTTCTGTAAAGTAGGAGGAGAGATTGAAGCTTACTCAGGATGCCCATGTAGCCTGAAGAAGGACTTAATATGGCAGGCCAGGCCTCCTGAACTGTCGGTCACCCATGTGGTCCCTCTGCTATCCACTTCCCAGGGCAGGTAGTCCCACTCTTGGAGATGGGAAGAAAATTATCTTCTCTGATGTGCACCTTTTATTTCATCTTTGTTCAGCCCCTTTAGAAAAATGTCTTATTTTCTGTGGAAAAAAAAAATCAATGTTAAAGTTATAGAAAGTCAAAACTTTTCCATGTCTGCTCTCTGCTACCTTTTAAACCAATTAAATACCTTTCTCTGAATATCTTGTCCATTCAGATCTGAAGACCTTTAAAGACTGTGGTTTTATTTTTGTGTTTACATTCCTTTGGTTTTGCATAATTTGCTTGATTTATGCATTTTTAGTATTTATTTTAAGCCAAATGTTTTAGCCTTTTTTATTCATTTTTATGACACTAATTTGTAGATGTTTAGTAAAGTCTTATGAGAAATAAGTGGATAAAAGTATTTCCAAGTCAGCTCAGTGGACTGGGAATTTTTTTAAATTTAAATTTCAAAATGGTTTGCAATCAACAGATGGCTAAAGTTGCCATCTGAGTTCTTTTATAGGCTACTTTAATTGACTCCATTGTATGGAAACCAAGTGTGAATGTTAAGGTGAATTCACTGTATCCCTGTATCATACAGCGCCCTTGTATACAAGACTCTCATGTCACCTGGGGTAACTCACCATGTTGGTTTGTCTCCATTTAGAAAGGCAGATAACATATTGAATTTTCCAAGATCAGGAGTTGCAGATTGACCCTCTAGAAGAAAAGAAAATAGCAAAGAACAAACTCTTTTTCTGTGTAAAATCACTGATTCTTGGGAGTGGGGCGGGAAATGGGAGTAGAACATTAACACTAGCTCTTTTACTTTCTGAAATTTCCTAACCTCAGTAGACACCAGCAACAAAATTCAGCTTTTTAATCCACCACCACCCTCTCCTCCACAAATGAGACTTTCACAGTTTGCATAGAATTTGACTGGATAGCAAACCACAGCTCTCCTAAACCCTGCTCAGTATAAGTGGTGGTTCTCACTTCTTCCATGAAAACTTGCACTGGGGACAGAGCTTGCCTTGGTCACACCTTCCCATAGCTCCAAACTCTGAAACACACAACCAGGTAGACCAGGCAAAGGGAAAATTTGCACCTCTGAATCCCATGAAAATGTTTCAATGTTTAGTTTAGATATTGCTAACTTGTGCTATTAACCTTTTGACAAGCGTGTGGTATTGTTTGTTTTGGGTTTGTTTTTGATTTATAACCATTTAGTAGTCCTCAGCTAGCTACCAGTACAGATTTTACCCCATGGGTAGGATTCTATTGTCAAATCACATAACAAAGCACACTAATCCAGACACTGCAAATGGAAATATGAACCAAAAACGAAATTTACACCGATACGTGGAACAAACTCTCCATTTTTGATATCTGCATGCTCCCCAATGGACTGGCTGTGGCAATGTAATGCCTGTATAATGTTTTCAAATAAAAATAAATGCTTTATGAAAGCACCGAGTTCTTAGTTTTTTTGAGTGTTTATGTACACTAGGTCCACCATGGAAGCAACTCCCTAAGGAAGCCAGAAATAGCAAAGAAAGTCAATAACTGAGTACATGTCAAAATAAAAACCAGAAAGAAAATATTTCCAAATTAGGAAGAGCACAGTTAGTCTCAGAGCAGTATCTCTGAAAAAGGAAAATCTAACACATCTGAAATTTGCAGAATTCTTTATCTAGGTGTTTGAGAAGTGTAGGGACAGGAATTGGACAATGAGCAGGTTTTCTATGCTCCAGCAGACCGGGTAAAGGAGGAGTCAGAGTCCTCAGTAGCTTTTGCAGGTCTTTTATTTAGATTTACCAGGCATATGGTAGGCAGGGGTACTGGGGGGCCAGGAGGCTGGCAGTCCTCCCAGCCCCAGCAAATCCTCACTCTCTCTGGGCTCTCTGGCCTTCTCTCCACTTCTCTTCTCTCAGCTTCCATTCGTTCTTGGCTTCTGCTGGCGTCCCCGTGACGCCACCCTTATAAACTCAGTCTCTCAGCCCAGGTGTACTCACTCCAGGTGCCCGCCATCAGGCATGCATTCAGGACCACAGGGTTCCCTCATCTATCCTGATGGCGGGAGGGCAGAAAAGCCTGATACTTTTACCTTACCCTACAGTCCACCCCCTCAGGGTTTTCTGCCAGACAGTCTGTACAAGTCATACATGTTTTTCTTGGCAATAGAACACTGCAGCCATGGCCCACAAAAACAAATAATATACATTGCAATAGAACAACAAAATACATAAAATACAACAGAACACGAATAATTCCAAGCAGGGCACCAACCTAGTGGCAAAAGACAATTTTTGGCACCAGCAGATGAGCCACCAAATCTGCTGCCAAAGGCACTGCTCATACGAGGGAGGGGAACCACTCATGGCATCTACTGTAACACACCAGGAGCCGTCAGGCTTCCTGGCCTTCTCTGGCTGTAGTCTCGGCTACAAGCCACACACAGCATCCACCCCCAGGATGCACTCGCTCTGGGATTGGCGATTCTATACTGTTGGGGGTAATCACCAACCCTCAGGGTTTCGGTCTGCTATCGCTCCAACACTTGGCTTTCATAGCCACCAATGCGACTCGCAGACCCCTGCACTCAGGCCAACCCACTGCACAAGCACATGGGTTGAGGATCCAAACTCCACATGTGGCCTCTCCTGGGTCCCGTCTTTGGCTTGAGCTCCACTCCAAGCCATGTTCCCCACCCATCCCCCAAGGACGGGTTCCTCAGCTACTCACCCTCACTCAAGAACAAGCAGGGCATCACCCACAGGTAATTTTAAGAGACTCACTGGTCTTCAGCATACTCAGGCTGCTTAACAGCCACTCAAGGCTTTTCGACTTAGCACCAGCTTTTTCCTTCTCAGAATTGGCTTTTCTCCTCTGCCTAGCTGCTGGGCAGTACACAGGCTCCTTTTGGCCACTGAGGCCCACTGGCCACCCCCAGATTCCCAAAAAACTTAACCTGCCAAGTTTCTTCCACCTTCTGGCGGGATTGTCAGTCCACGTTCATCGGTCCAAGTCCATTAGGCCTCTCCTTACATCAGCAATAGCGAGCTCCAAATCATGGTCTTATCTTCCCTGGCGATTCTTGGTGCCTCTGGGGTCATTGGCTGGTCCTCTTGGGTGTCTCCTCCTCCAGCTGAGGTCTCGTCCCTCAGCTCCCAGTCCTTGTCCACCTCATGTGCCGCCATGACGCCTCCAGCACTGTCACAGGCTCAGTCTGCTACTCCTGAGGTCTTCAGAGGGCTCCATACCCGTCTGCATGGATCATCTTGCCGACTTACACCAATTGTAGCGGCAGGACAGGACACTGAGCAGGTTTTCTCTGATCCAGCAGACCGGGTAAAGGAGGAGTCAGGGTCTTCAGTGGCTTTTGCAGGTCTTTTATTTAGATTTACCAGGCATATGGCAGGCAGGGGTGCTGGGTGGCCGGGAGGCTGGCAGGCCTCACAGCCCCAGCAAATCCTCACTCTCTCTAGGCTCTCTGGCCTTCTCTCCACTTCTCTTCTTCTTCTCTCAGCTTCCGTTCGTTCTTGGCTTCTGCTGGCGTCCCCGTGATGCTGCCCTTATAAACTCAGTCTCTCAGCCCAGGTGTACCCTCTCCAGGTGCCCGCCATCAGGCATGCATTCAGGACCACAGGGTTCCCTCATCTATCCTAATGGCGGGAGGGCAGAAAGGCCTGATACTTTTACCTTACCCTACAAGAAGGCTTTGGGGCTGCAACCTCTAAGCTCACATTTACAAAACATGTCGCACAATATAAATTCACTCCTATGAAACAGTAACCCATAAAAAAGAAAGTTCTGTGAATGCTGCCCTTGGCATCATGCCACATTGAAGGATGAGCATTCTTCAGAACACAACATTGATCAAGCAAGACTGTTCATGTTTCTGCTCCGAACTTAACATGGTATCTTGTCATTGTCCCTCCTCCACAAACTGCTTTCACCTGGCAACCCCTTAAACACTTAGAGATGAAAGGTTTACATTTACCCGTTCTTGTCATTCATGTTCACACTAAGAACTCAGCAATTAAATGAGCCAAAAGGACTCCATGTCTGAGTTATAGATTTAAAATGTTTGTAAAAGAAAACATTCATTTTTCAGGAAAAAAGGAAAAGCAGCTCACGGATGCTTTAGAAGTTTTCTTGAGCTCCATCATGCTCAGCTTGAATAGTTAGAACAGCAGCCTCCTTGACATAAATAATTTGATTGCAAGATAAGACCCAGTGTTTTAAAAAAAAGTTTGTCTTTGAAAAATGTAAATCTTTTTCTGAAGTATTGTTTACTTTTGTTTAGCCTGGAAGTTTTTGTAAAGGTAAGATAAGGCAGCACTTGAATGAGTTTTGTGCCTATTAGCATCAAAGAAAAAGTAAAATTCAGTAGTAGAGCTGTAATTTATTATATTGTCTTGCCAATGCATAGGAAAACAAATTGGAATGTATAAAACAACAGGATCTGAAATCAGTGTCAACCCATCTGTTTTCCTTGCTGTAGAGGCAGGAACGGACACAGTGCACAGGTTTTCTATGATCCAGCAGACCGGGTAAAGGAGGAGTCCTGGAGCCCTCAGTGGCTTTTGCAGGCTTTTATCGGGATATACCGGGTACATGGCAGGTAGGGGTGCCGGGGGGCCGGGAGGCCGGCAAGCCTCCAGCCTCCAGCAAGTCTTCATTCTATCTAGCTCTCCCGCCTTTTCTCATGGCCTTGCTTCTCTACTCTCTCGTGGTTCTCTCTCTCGGCTTCTGCTGGCGTCCCCGTGACGCTGCCCTTATAAACTTAGTCTCTCAGCCCAGGTGTACCCACTTGAAGTACCTGCCATCAGACATGCATTCAGGACCACAGGGTTCCCTCATCTATCCTAATGGCGGGAGGGCAGAAAAGCCTGATACTTTTTACCTTATACTACACTGGAGTGCTTTTTTTTTCCTATAAAATTCCTGTTCTTGGAATAAATGAAATGCTGGGTTCACTTAAATTCACCCTTGTGGGGAATTTTTTACGAACCCTGAAAATGTTTGGTGCTTCAGGGTTGATCCAGGATATAAAACAATGCAAGTTCTTTTTTTCACTTGCAAATAAAGCTTTTGAATGCAAAACATGGTTTGTTAATTCTCCCTTGGGTGTTGAGGTAGCCACATAATTCATTATCTAAGCCTGAATCCTTTCAAGAGTGGTTGCAAGGCACTTTGAATAATTATCACTGGACAGAGTCAGTCTGTCCCAGGTGAACCTGGATGTATGTCACCCCAGCTTTGTGAGATATGCAGGTATACCCCTACCATGAGTCACATCTGGGTAAAGCTGATACCGAACGCCGGCCTCAGTTTCCCTCAACTAATAAAAGGAAACAGAGTTTAAGGAAAAGGAAAGTGGTTTAATTTGTCGACAAATGAGGAGGGTAGCAGACTCATGTCTGAAAGACAACCGTCCTGCTCTTTGGCAGAGTGCAGGGGTCTTAATAAAGGGGGAAAAAGCAAAGCGGAGTGTCGAAGTCGGCACGGAGAGGGTGGGCGCCAGCTTGCTTTTTTAACTGCTGTATTCCTTGGAATGCAAGAAGATCAACCTGTCAAACAAGGGGGGATTTGCAAGAAATCCATATGTCTTGCAAATCCAAAGACACACTTGTTAATGCTTACCTGAGAAACTGGTCATAAGAAGGCAAACTTGTCAAATAAGGGGGAGAATTGCAAGAAATATGGGAGAGACAATCTTGTTAATTCTTATCTGAGAGACTAGTCATTTGTAATTGCATCAAAGCTGCCCACCTGCCCACCATGGAGAAGCTGTTCTAGGATTCTCATGCCTGGAGGGCAGTACCAGCTTCCATTCCCATGTTGTTCTTTAGGTCTCATTGGAAACACCTGCTGCTTGGAGTAGGGGCGAAGTAAGAGGAATTTCAGTGGTAATATCACAAATAGCTTCTCTACGATTCATTGATAAATATATTTCCTTTTTTAAAGATTTATTTATGTATACAAGAACTGGGGTACAGACCAGAGGTGCCGGGAGTGAGAGAGTAGGGAACAGAATAGGCAGATTGATGAAATACACTGCTGAGGGGAGCAGCAGCGGGCGGGTCAGGAAAGGTCTGCTGCACCATGTGGGTAGCTCCCTGGCCCGAGATTGAACTCACACTGCAGTGCTGCGGATAGCTTAGTAGGTTGCGTCTTAACCCCTTGCGCCACCAGGGAGGCCCAATAAATGTATTTCTTAAAAAAGGAAAAGGGCAAAAGGTAAAAAGAGGCAATACTTCAGGAATCAGAAGTAAATTATAGAAGATCACACACCTACATATTTTAAAAAAATGCAGATTGACAAATAGACACATGCATGAATGAAGACATTTTCCTCATGGGAGAAAGCGGATTCCTAGGTGCTGAAGAGCAGATGCTTATGGCAGTGGATCAAAGCCATTCTTCATTTCTACACCCAATATTTTTTGCACGGTATCCA